GGAGCCACGTCACCGCGGGCCCTGACCCCACGCAGAGCGGAGCCACGTCACCGCGGGTCCTGACCCCACGCAGAGCGGAGCCACGTCACCGCGGGTCCTGACCCCACGCACAGCGGAGCCACGTCACCGCGGGCCCTGACCCCACGCAGAGCGGAGCCACGTCACCGCGGGTCCTGACCCCACGCACAGCGGAGCCACGTCACGGGCGCTTGTTCCACCTGGGCCAGCCTCCTGCGCCCCGGTGAGTCTCTGTGGCCGTACTCACGAGCCCGGTCTAATCCAGGGCTGTGCGGAGGTGAGGCACCCTCCTCGGGGCTGCAGCCCCATCCAGTGCCCCGGCCCATGCTCCGTGGGGACCCAGGAGCGCTGCGGGGCCTGACCCCGATTCCTCACCTGACATCCTCCCAAGCCCACAGGGACCGTGGACAGTGGCCTTGCTATGACATACCTCATCGATCTCCTTGATCCATCGATCGATCCCGTCGAAAGACCAGCGGTTCGCAATGTCATAGACCAGGATCACACCCTGGGGGAGAGACCACGGGCTCAGCACGCAGGACACAGATGCAGGCACAGCCGCGGCCACGCAGGCAAATCCACAGCTAGCTCAACAACCACTTTCCTTACGTTAACACGAGATTTATCAGCCGAACGTAGCAGTTTTACGATCATTTCCAACGATATTTCATGAGCTCAGTGATAAAGCCTCAACTGTCAAGGTGAGCTGCGGACTAGAACTCACACCCACGGGCCACTCCAGGAACACAGGATGCAAGGGCACCACAGTAATCGCCGCCTCTTGAGGAGTGCGGTCCCAGCCACCTGGATAGCCCGCATGCACACACCTGCACACACATGTACAGGCCAGCACACACACACACAGGCACTCATGCACACACAGTGCACACATCTGCACACAAGTGCACACACGAAGGCACTGATGCACATACGCACACACTGCGTGTATCTGCACATGTTACATACACACGTATGCATTCATGCACAGATGCATGCATGCACAGCACGTATCTGCACACGTGTACACACACAGGCACTCATGCAGAGGCATGCCCACACAGTGCACATACCTGCATACATGTTGCATACACATACCCACAGGCACTCATGCACACACGCATGCACAGTGCACACACACACAGTTTGTGTTCACATTCATGCACATATACAGGGAAGCACACACACACACATTACACACACATGCACTCATGCACAGATGCACACATATACAGTGCAAGTACCTGCACACACATTGTGTACACACATACACGCAGGTACTCATGCACAGTGCACACACATACAGCTCGTGTGTTCACACACATATACAGGGAAGCACACACATACACATTACACACACACAGGCACTCACGCACAGAGACGTGCACATACCTGCACACACACTGTGTACGTGCACACACACTGTAAATGCAGGCTTACATCCCTAATGCTGACGAACGCTTTCCAGCACCCACCCACTCTACAGCACCTGTTTGTTTTGAGACAGAATCTCCCACTGTTGCCCAGGCTGGAGTGCAATGGCGCGATCTCAGCTCACTGCAATCTCTGCCTCCTGGGTTCAGGCAATTCTCCTGCCTCAGCCTCCCGAGTAGCTGGGATCACAGGCGCCCACCATGCCCAGCTAATTGTTTTGTATTTTTAGTAGAGACGGGGTTTCACCATGTTGGCCAGGATGGTCTTGATCTCCTGACCTCGTGATCCGCCCGCCTCGGCCTCCCAAAGTGCTGGGATTACAGGCGTGAGCCACCGCGCCCGGCCCATGTTTTTAGACTCTTGGCACCAATTTATGCGTAAGCTTAACCGCCTTATCCTCCAATTATCCATTAAAGGATGGTTAGTTAAGCATTGTAGATGTTATTCAAAGTTGGTTTGATCTCCCAGCTCAGGGGATGCTCGTTACCTGTGCACCCCGAGAGTAGGAGCGGAATATGGTGCAAAATCTTCCCTGCCCCGAAGTATCCCTGGAAAAGATGTTGGAGACCATTAAGAAGAAATCAGTGCTTCTTCCTGACAACTGGTTCTCGAACTTTAGAGCCACGACAAATGTACCTCACAGCCACTGGTCAGTGGCCACCGTGCTGCCATGCAGATCCCCAACAAAACTGTCCCATGCCCCCATTGTGATCTGGGTAACAAAACTGTCCCGCATCCCTGACGTGGTCCAGGTAACGAAACTGTGCCACGTCCACAACATGATCCAGATAACAAAACTGTCCCACGTCCCCGACGTGGTCTGGGTAACAAAATTGTGCCACATCCCAACATGGTCAGGGCAACAAAACTGCCACACCCCCGATGTGGTCAGGGCAACAAAACTGTGCCACGCCCCTGACGTGGTCCGGATGTCAGGATGTCCTTCCAGGCTCATGCTCTTCTCTGTCACTTAAAAAGTCAAACTAGAAAAAACAGTGATGGTTTTAACAGAATTCCCAGACATTTAAATACATTCAATATAGAGTTTTAAAAATTAGTTGATTTGGGGATAAAGCTATGTAGAAATGAGTGTGGGTCTACACCAGGGGAGAGGGGCCAGTGGGATCCCTGTTCTTCTGGTTAGACTGTCACAGCTCACACGAGTCAGCCCTTCAGATGCACCCTAAAGGGTGGGAAGGAATACAGGGAACCGACTGGTGTGGACTGAGGGGCAGGGCTTAGTTCTTAGGTGGTGGCACATATAGCAGGCACTGGGACCCAGAGAGACCAGAACAGAGCTCCAAGAAACAAATGAAAGACTGGGTGCGGTGGCTCATCCCCATAATCCCAGCGCTTCGGGAGGCTGAGGAGGCCAGATCAACCCCATAATCCCAGCACTTCGGGAGGCCGAGGAGGCTGGATCACCCCCATAATCCCAGCGCTTTGGGAGGCCGAGGAGGCCGGGTCACCCCCATAAT